CATGCAGATAAAACAATCAAACAAGATCAAAAGATAAGAATTTTAAGTACATTTATCTTTTCTTTACCACAATTGTCTATTTAAACATTGATTGATGCAGTAGTTTCCCCACAGGCATGATGTGATCATGATGGGGGTTTTCTATGAAACTGGCCCATCCTTTAATGCAAAACAAAAGTGAAAACTGAATTTCATTAAAATGAATAATTTTTTTTAATACCAACAAGATAATTAACAGATGGTGTAGATTAAAATAGTCTAGGTTTAAAAGAATAATCTCAAGTAGTGATGTTATGAGCTGAGCCGAGGCTTCGAGGCGTGTGTCGAGTAATGGAGGGGGCGTTTCTCTAAAACGTGTGTCGAGGCGTGATTCATTTAGAGGAGGGGCCAAAATTGATGACGTCCAAGGCCTCGCTACCGTGAAACCACGTGACGGGCATCTAAACAGCCTCAGTATTCAGTCAAGATGTGGGAGATTGGAGGAGAGTTGCTGTCAGTATGATAGAGTTTGAATAGATTCTAAGAATTGATTGGTTGTTTTCCAACTAATCTAGTTGTTTAAAACTATTTTGGTGAGAACAAACAATGTAATGACCAAAATCTGAGCAAACCACTGGACACAGTGTTAGCACGTCAGCATTAAGAAGTATTTTCTCCATTCTATGGTTATCTATATTAGTGGCGTCATCTGTACGACACAGGCTCTCACCCTAGAGGTTGATGGTTCAAAACCGGCCTTAACTTTTGAAAGTTGTGATTAAACTTAATTATTTTGGCTAATGAGACTAATTTGCATTGGTTTGCCCTAGTAAAAATACAGATTGGGTAAAAACGCTGCCAAAATAGCAGGTTTAGCCAAAAGATTGGTTGAACACAACTTCCGACTGAATAAAACCAAAAAATGTGGAAAAACTTTTTTTGCTTATCATTGCCCAATTTGCACAAACACTTTCACTGTCTGCTCAAGTTTATTTCACTAAAATGGCAGAAAAACTGTGCACCTTAAATGATTGTTGTAAGAAATTTTACACTTAAAAAATTTACAAAATATTTAAGTATACACACTAACAATTAACAATTTCAAAGGACCTTAAAAGGGAAAAAAATTGCCCAAAAAAAAAAATCAGATTTTATTACTAACTGTAGTTCTGCATTCCACCAGTAGGTGGTGACATGATCATGAACTGTGGGGATCGTTGAAGCAAATTGGCCAAACAGTTCAATGCCTCATGAGGCTTCATCTCACCATCACTAGCCTCAAGTATACTTTTTAAGCTGGATTAAATGCAAAGAAAGGACTGCAACAGTGCAGTTAATGTTCAGCAAAATAAATGTAGAGAAAACATATAGTTCTGTGTGTGTAAAGTGTAGAGGCGACTGTTTCTTTGACAATCAGACTCACCCCTGGATCAGTCCTCCGCGGCCACCAAAGC